TTTGTTTTGTTTTTTTCAAAGAAGCACACGGTATCTATTCACACAGCCCACCTCAAGAAATGAAACCAGCAACAGATCCTGTTATAGCCCCTGTGCATGCGGGGCTTCCCCGCCCCCATCAATCACTCCGTATCGGAGGTAGGAGATGTCACACACTGTCCCAAATCACTGAAAACATTCCACGCCATGGGTTGATTCCCTCTCACAGTGACGGCACAGGACAGGGTGGAAGTGTCCCCGGGAGCGCCTGCGTCTGTAATTCTTTGCAGGAGCAGAAAGCCTCCTCTTTCCCTAATGGAGCGGCTGGTGGCTTTGAACGGCTGGCTTTTCCGTTAGCAGCTCACAAAGGAACCCTTCCCAACAGGGCTCCTTTCACGAGGTCCAGAATATTTCTGGAAGAAGACCAATGCGCCTGCCCAATAGCTCCCACCCTTGGTATTCCTCCTGCCCTCCCTGCCCCTAGGAATGATGATGCCAATCAAGCAGAACTAGATGGTGAGCAGGGAGACTTCAGCCATCACATGGAACTTACATATTCAACTGGCTCACCACGTACCCTCAGGAGATTGCAAGTTGTCTGTGTGCTCTCATGCATCATTCACTCACACTCATTGACTCGTGGCCAACCGTCCGCAAAGATCTACTTGTCTCTCGGACACTGCAGGCGGTGCAGGGCACAGGGGTGACTCCGGCCGTGCTTTCTTCAAGGGGTTTGCACCCTAGTGGAGGAGAAGCCAAGAATGCAAGCAATCAGACTTGGGACTCATACCATGGCTTGGCGTCAGTGCTATCTCGCCAGGATTGGAGGTGCAAGGGAGGAATTGGGTCCTATAGAAAACCATCGAGTATTTAGTCTGTTCTAGAGTAGGGTCAGAGCCCTGTTGGATATGATGGTTATGCGTTGGGCTGCTCATCACAAATTCAGCAGTTCGAAACCAGCAGCCACTCCACAGGAGAAAGCTGAGACTTTCCACACCTCTAAAAAGTGATCATCTTAGAAACCCGTGCGGGCAATTCTACCCTGTCCTATTGGGTCAGTGTGAGTCAGGATCCTCTTGATGGCAGTGAGCTGCTGTTGAGAGGGTAGCTCAAAGAAGGCTTTGCCGTTACAGCCAGAAGAGCCAATGGGTTCCCTTCGGGTGACCAAGGTGAACAGCTGCGAGGCGGTGTTGGGGAGGTGAGTGTGGTAAGGCCCATCGGGGAGCTGGAGGTGGGGGCAGCTCTGTTCCGAGATCGGTGAGGAGCCGCTGAAGGCCTTGCAGCCAGGGAGCAGCAAGGAGTCTGAATTCACTCCCTGGGTTACTTTCCTTGGGAAGCAAGAGTGAGGCAGGAGAACCCTGACAAGGCAGTTGACCCAGAGCAGTGTTTCTCAACAAGAGCTATACCACCCCAGGGGTGGGGCTACCACCGCCCACAGCAGCTACAAAGGCTGATTGCTACACTTTGTCCCAGATTGGGCTACAGGACAAGCGGTTTTCATTGCTGGGCAGTACTAGTTTTGTTTTTTTTTTTGGTTTGTTTCTGAAAGGGGGAACAGTCAGCCAAATAAGTTCAGCCATGCATGCCCTAGAGGACGGCGGACATAGAGAGTGAAGTCTGCATGGTTTTGTTTCAGCGAGGATGACACAGGATGGGGAAAGAGCATCACACCATTGCATTAGCCTAGGGAGAAAGCGTCGGGTCAATAACATTGGCCTTCGGGCATCGCTCAGTGAGTTCATGAGCTCCCACGTGCTGTGTGTGGGAAGCTATCCCCTGCTGAGCGCAAGATTACTTTTCCCCAGAAGACTGGCTGTTGGCTGCTCTGTGGTGCAGCATCTTTCGTGTCTGGTGGCTGGGCCCGCTCCCTGGCCAATGGTGAGGGGTTGTTGTGATAACTGAGATCCGTCCTGTGGTCTTTCCTCCACCGACTCCAGGGAGTGTGTTTCCTGGCACCCCGTCCACCCCCATCCTTCCCTCTGTGTCAGCGGACCATTAAGGCTGAGTCGGGATGGGACCAGGTGGTGGGGGTTTAATTGTTTGCTTGTATGTTTTCTGTGTTTAACCATTTTGAACTTGACGATTCAGGGCACAGGACAGGTGGGACCTTTTTCTAGAAGGGAAACCTAGCTGCCAGCCTGTAAGAAATCGGCCACAGTTTAGGGGATACGTTACAGGCAGATAAAGACAAATAGTCTAGGGTATCAGATCACACTCTCATTTTTCATCTGCATTTCACACTCTCCTCTTCGAGCCCAGACTAATCAAAAGAAGCCTCTTCAGCTCGCAGTGGCTCTGTGTGCACCCCCCCCCCCAACACACACACCCAGCTGGTCTTCCTGTGAACAACGAGGTTTATTTATGTTTCGGCACCAAATTGGAAAGATGACATCATTCATTTACAGTCTTTGTCCCATGACATGCCCACTCTCTGTCACCTCGTGAGGCAGACACACAGAGGACGGAATACGGCATCGTGTTTAGCTTGTGCATTCCTTAGCAGGATGCAGTTCAAAGGGGGGGACTTTGGGCTTGTCCCTGCTAGGAAAACAATCACATAAACTCACAGGAGCTTCCTCGAGGATCAGGGGTGATGATACATGCAAGAGCAGTGCTAGCATGCATTCATGGCGGCCCTATCATCCTCCTCGGGCGGGTCCCAGCCTTGTGGACCAGCGCACGACTCCCCTTGGGCTCTCCAAGGTCCACCAGAAGGAACAGCTCCCAGTTGATTGTCTGTTCACAAGTCAGACAACCAACCTGGAACTTGAAGGGCGATGCCTGCCTTTCAGAATCTCGGTTCCAAAGGCCAGCAAAAGAGGCGCCATGGAACTGCCCCTTCTCACAGGACATAACCGGCCATTGGTCATCTTCCACTTGCGGTGGGCACGGAACCATGGAGATGCCATTAGCTGCCAAAGGTTGTCTGAGATTTCTAAAAATAATCATAAAAAGTTCAGTGGCTCTTTCCCTCGGTTTTATGGTTTTTATCCAGAGACGAGCTCTGTTTTTACATCCCCTGGGGCCAGTCACAGACTGCACACTTTGGGGTTGTTGATGCCGTGAGGAAATCCCGAGGCCCCCTGTGGCAGGTAGGGCTGGGATGTGAGGTGTTTCCAAGACGTAGCAGAACCAAAGCGTTTCTGGGAAATCTCCTTCTATCTATTCCACGTGTGGCCTCTCGTGGCCCGCTTGGTGGCGTGGTGTGGAGAAGAGCCTGGTGAATGTGCATCGGGAGACTCAGAAACACTCCACGTTCTCAGTCACAAAAGACGCGGGGAGCTGAAAACCCTGCCTTCGCTTTCCCAGCTGCCAAACGAAGCTAGTACGCATCCCTCTCGGGAAGGTTCTGAGGCAAAGCAAGACTGCATGCAGAAACTACTGCATGGAGGCAGCACGCTGGGTCCAGGGCTCTCTCTATTATCCGAGTATTGTTTACATTGCTCAGTAAAACTCCCAACGGGCTTGAGGCCCTGCCAGCCCTGGTTTCTGGCTCTCTGAAAGTACCCAGAGCTCCTTGTCATCCCCAGCCACCAGTGGGATTGTTAGGACAGCTCACGGGCTGTCCCCGATGCTCGGTGACCTTCCCTGGCCGAAAATCAACATGCAGCACCCCTCTTATCACAACCCCGAGATGTCCCTGTCACTTACCCCGACTCTGTGGGGTGCTCGTTGACAGCAAACCCAGGGCAGGTGGCATCGAGGGCAGAGGGAGGCAGCAAACAGTGAGCTCTCCCAGGGGTAGATCAGGGCCTCCAATCCCACACGCGCATGTGTTGCTCCCGTATCGTTGGCTTTCTGAGAAGGATCTTCTGAATCTGCCTGTTTCCACCATCTTCGGGTGATTTTCTGAATTCTGTGGCCTGTGACAGCATCCCTCCCTCATTTCCTGCTCCGTGTAATAAAATAAGACAACTTTTACACCCAGATGTTGACCGTGATGCCCGGTTTCCTCATGGGACAAGCATTAGGCTAGAAAGAAAGAGAGACACTGCCCACTGAGTTGGCTCTCATGCTTAGCAACTCTGCAGGACAGAGTAGAACTGCTCCTTTGGGTTTCCAAGATCTTAAATCATTATCAGAGTTGATACCCTCACCTTTCTCCCACAGCTGGTGGGGTTGAACTACTGACCTAGGGATTGGCAGCTCAATGCATAACTCACAATGGCACCAGAGCTCCTTGGGATAAATTTGGATGGTCAGTTAAACTTGGGATACAGTAGGATGGTCTCTCTGCTCAGTTTCACAAGGAACAACAAGATGGAAATGGTCCGCAGAGAGCCCATGGCGTAGAAGTCAGGGGGAGCAGCCAGCCATCTCTGTTAGTGTTTGTGCACCCCACACCTCCTGGGAGATTCTGCCACCTTGTCTCGTGAGGCTGCAGTGTGTCCTTAGCTTTGCGTCTCCACTCAGCTCTTGGCCCACTTTTCCTAAGAGTGTCCATCTCTTGCTTGTTCTAGGGCAGTGGTTCCCAACCTTCCTAATGCCTCAACCCTTTCATACAGTTCCTCATGTGGTGGTGATCCCCCAACCATAAAATTATTTTCGTTGCTACTTCATCACTGTCATTTTGCTGCTTTTCTGAATCAGGCAACCCCTGTGAAAGGGTTGTTCAACCCCCGAAGGTGGTCGTGCCTCACAGGTTGAGAACCACTGCTCTAGAGGGTAGGATGTGTTCGTGGGTACGCTGTGGTTGCAAGCTTCCTCTGGAGCTCTGATGACTGGTGAAGGGAGAGCAGAGCCCCTGACAATCCATCTGTCCCCCCTAAGTCATCAGAGGGAAGTGCCTTCCCATCTACAAACACAGCTACAAGACCCACCGTGGCTTCGAGGAGTGGCAAAGCCTTTTTCACCGAAGGTGAAAGGGCACAGGCTCTCCTTTGGTGTCGGTCTGACTAGAAATAGAAGTGTCTGGATCAGGAACAAAGCGGGGTCCCCTGTGTGCAGTGATGCGCCTGAGCCACTCTGGCGGGTCGCTTAGCTGCCCCTGATGGCATCTTCCCCGTGTTCCTCTTGCGCAGACCCAGAACCGGATGAAGCTGATGACGGACAGCTATGATGAGGACCACCACCACCACCACCACCACCACCACCACCACCACCACCGATCTCCCGGGAGGTCGCAGCACTCCAACCACAGGCCCTCTCCGGACCAGGTCAGTCTCCCTGCCACTCCCTCCAGCACCCCTTTTACCCCTTTGGATATCGCAAGATAAAATAAATAGTCCTCGAGAAATAATAAACAGCATAAAGTGATACGCTCTTTGAACTGAAACTAATAGCTTTGGTATTTATTTCCATCACTCAAGGAATCTAAATGTTTTCCTTTCTCCTTCCTCTTCAACGTTTTGTCTTTCTTGTTTATGTTCTGCATTTTCTTCCCTGCCCTCCTTTCCTCGTTCAGCGGTGGCCAGTCAAGCACTGGCTTGGTATCTCACAGCCACTTCCTTTGGAATGTCTGGCTCAGGGTTTGAAGAGAAGGCACTTTGTCACCATGAGCCTGGCAACCAGGGATGCCTGGAGCTTGCCGAGCCCTTTCCTAGAGAATTCCTTCGGGATGCAAATCAACAGAGGGGCAGAGAAACAGGACCAGGAATCCGTTTGGCTCACACATTAGTCTGTGAAGTCAAGGGGTCTGGTCTATTTGACTTGGACCCTATCTTCCCCCTTGAGCAAGGGAGCCACTGGCAAGATGGATCGACAAGGACACAACCCCTCCTGCCAGGCACCGGGATGTCCACGGTCAACCTACCCAGTGCCAAGCTGGACTGGTTAGTGTGTAGCAGGAGAATGCTTGAAGGTGAATGTCATAGAAATGGTCAGTTATGAAATTAAACGCACACTCACCTAACTCTGCCCTCGGTGTCCGCGGCATTTCTTCCCTCGTTAGATGTTGTCCCCATTTCCGTGTTCCGAGCGTCCCCTTTAGAGTCCGTCTCGGAAGGCCACGGGCATTCATAAAGAAATAGAGTCATTGGGAAGATGCGGAGGCCTTTGCTATGTATTCTGGGATATGGGATGGGCGGCCTTGTTAGAATGACCCGGATGGATGGAGGCGGTTTATTTGTTGATTGAATGCAAGGTGATGATTATGCTCCTAACCCTTCAGTTCTGTAGCTCTGTTTCCTTGTGACCTCCTCTCGCTGGCATTCGCTGCATGAGTTAAGATCCCGAGTCTCCGAGTGCTTTCACCAGGAGGACAGCCCGAGAGAGGTGCTAGGGAATGGAGCCCAGCATTTCAGGCTGAGGCAGCCATGCCCAACGAGGCACCTCAGCCTCTGACCGTGAGCTTGCTCTTCCACTCGGAAGCATTTGACCCCAGAGACCTCAACTCGGCAGATGGTGTTCGCCTGGCACATCTAGATTCTGACGCCGGGACAAGAAGGCCCAGCATGTGTGTTTCCCTCTGAGATGGTTCTTGGTTTAGAGAGCTGAAAAGTGGGAGAGAGGTTAATTATATGTCATCATCTTGTAAGTCTGTCTTTCTGTTTGGGTTTGGTTTTTCCCTTCCCTTCTTACCCCTCATCAACACCACCGTCTCTCTGTACACGCCCGCCCCAGCCCCGGGCAGCTCCCAGACAAGCTCTCCCCAGCCTTGATCTGGGTCCCCACCCCTGCCCTCCATTACGTTCTTGCATGAGCAATAGGTATGCGGTTTCTTTGGTCTGCAGAGCCCACTGTAGCTCCGATTGGGAGCCACACCTTCCCAGAGGGCTACCCCGGCTAGATTCTCCCACAGAGAGGAAGAGAACGGCAGGGTGGACAGAAAGAAAGGATCGGAGCCAGACCAGGAGTGTGGTTCCTCCTGGTACCTGCTGAGACAGCCAGAGGGGCATCTGTGCCCCTTCCCAGGGACTCTTCCGCCCTAACCTCTGTGATCCTCATAGTTGACCTGGAGGAGGAGGTGCCGCAAGAGGTCGGCGCTGCCGCAGGAACCTTATGAAGATAAAAGCCCAAGGAAGGTGAAGAAGGAGAAGAAACCCAGTCTTGTTGCTGATTTTCCAGAGCAGCTCTCTTTTCCCGAGGAAATCCAGTGGGCGCACTGCCAGGTCCTTGCAGAACTGGATTCTTTTTCCACGTCCCCCAGTCCTGGGGTGATGCCAGGCCTTCTCTCCTCTACTGCGATTCTGGCTTCTGCTTGAGAGAAACTGAATTCACGGGTTATGAATCTAGACAAGTGTTTCCGAAAGTGACCTTCGGAGCATTGTCCCAGGAGGGAAGCCTGGCAACAAAGATATGGTGGCAAAGACGTCGGAGAAAGGGCTGCATCTTCTGCCTGGATCGAGCAGGGCCCTGGCAATTAGCTGATCAAGGATCTCAAAAGGCTGACAAGAAAGGAATTTCTCCAAGTTAAGCTAGTGTTTCCCACACTTATTTGCTCATGAATCCTTTCGAACTTCTACTACTATGACTACAACTTCTGCTTCTTCGTCTTTTCTAGTAGCATCTGAGCTCAGAGAAACATTGCTCTTCAGAGTCTCAGGCAAATAGAGAGGCTTCCCTCTAGAAAACACAATTGGCCCTGTGTTCAGCAGTGCCAGTTCTGAAGGTGGAGTTTCAGGCAGTCCCTCCATGCTTTGCAGAACAGAAAAAGCGTGCCTCCGATTCAATTCACGGGATACCTGCCGAACGAAGGCTGTGACACCTGGCAGTGAGGTATTCCACTGGGAGCCAGAGAGCTCTGAGCCCAGGACGCCAATGTAAGGATGAGGGTTGAGAAAGTCGAGGCTGCTCCCCAATGCTCGGCCCCTCAGGGACTGAGGGTGAGTGCAGTGGGAGCAGACAGAGTTTGGAAAACAGCAGAGAAACCAGTGGGGGTGGCATTCCAACAGTTTGGACCCACACCTGAGAAAGGAGCAGTCAATGGCTGTTGACCTCTTACCACCAGGATGGCCACAGCCAGGGAGTACATCTACATGGAAGGTCCAGTCAAATCCTAGTAGTGATGTAAGACGCCCTTCAAACCAAAAAGCAGTCACAGGTAAAAACCAGACACCTCTCAGGGCTCAGGCTGCTGGTGTTTTCTGAGAAACAAACGAGGCCAGAGGAGGCTCCTTTGTGATGGTTCTTTAGGGAAGCTACCAGGACGGATTCCATCACACCTCAAGGACACACGTGGCTACATGCCTTCCGGACTCTCATCCTCGAACCAGCCGGGAGAGGCTCCCCAAGCACATCGTTTTCCTACTTCCTCTTTCTCAGCATCCTCCAGCGTTTACTGCCCCAGGAAAAGTCCTGTTCGATTAAGCTCTTCCCAGTAGCTCTCAGTTCTGGATTCCCCCTGCCATGGATGAGCAGAGCCCTGCCTCAGAGTGATGCCAGGCCATGGCCACGTGCCTGTGGGCACCCAGGACACCCTCTGTGCCTCAGGTTGAGTGTCAGGTTCTTAAGGGGCCTGGTCCCAAGGCAGGTCATGTGTGTGCGGAATGCAGCTCCATTTGTTCTCCCTTTTCCAATTTGGATCCCAGTTTGTGGAAGCCTAAATGGCACAGCACCTACAGCCCTTTCTTCCTGGAAACTCCTATTCAGGGACCTCGGGGAAGAGTCTCCTTCCTTCTCTCTCTTCTCGCTTCTTCCAGTAGAAACCAGCACAAACTCCAGGGATGATTGTCCACCTCTAAGCTTTTCAATCCTATCCGAAACCGAAATTTTACCTTTTCTTTGTGGAAATTCTATTTCTGAAGGAGCCCGGGACCATGGAGACGTGAGAAGACTGATGACCAAACAGACTGCTGAAAACGATCAGGCCCAGCCAGGGTGTCTGTGGTAGGTGTGCAAAGCACGCTCACCTGCCCGGCCTCAGTGGCTCCGAGAAAGGGCAGAGGGAAGCATCCTGACTGCGAGGGAGGAAGCAGGCTCACGGACTGTGGCAGCTCTCTGGGTCACAACCTGATAACCAGCAGGCCCAGGAAGAAGGCGTGAGCCCTCTTTGTATGCATCCCTGGTGTGTTCCTGCAAACACGGCTGTTAAATACGGTTGAGTGGCCACCGCACACCAGCTCCTCCCCAGACACAAACGTGGCACCTGGGAAGCCCGTGCGAGGGCTGCACCATCTGACCGGGTCATCCCACCCGGAGCCAAAGAGATCGGTCAGTCGGGAGCCGTGAGGAGGAGGAGGCTTATTAAGAGCGGAACTAAGTTTTATCCCATTTTGATCTATGCTCTCGATGTCACTCCATCTGTCCTCATTCCATGAGCCCCTCCCCTTCCGTCTTTACTTCTGGGTGTGTGTGTGTGTGGCTTTATTGTTTTAAACCTCGCCCCACCCCTGCTATCTATTCCCTGTCAGTTGTCTCTATTTGATATCCCACTGCCACCAAAAAGAGTGTTTCTACAATTGCCCCACGGCCAGCCGTGGAATGCCCAGAGGGGGATTCAGGGAGAGGAGGAGACTGGTCCAAAGAGAGGACTCCCCCCTTCTCCTGCTCACGGAACCGGACCTTCGGCACTTGGATGAAGCGGAGCCTCGCCGCCTCTCACCAGCTGCGGTTCCAGGAGCCTCGATACAGCAGAAGCTGGCTTTCCCTAGATCTGTGCCTTTAGGGTGTTCCTCCTGCTAGTCCATCCCTAGGGGAAGGCTCGCCCTCGCCCTGGACACTCCCGCTCCACTTGACGTTTTCCAGAATCTGTCTGCAGACAAAGGTGCTCATCTTCTGCTGTTGTTTCTGGGCTCTTCCCGCTGACCACGTGGGCCCGCACACGTGGGCCCACAGCTTCTACCACTGCACACATGTGGGAGCACTGACCACCCACTCAAGTTTTCCGCTGAAAAGTCCCGTGGAATTCTGCCTGGGGCACAGGGCACTTGCTAGTCTGTGTGTTCTGCCCCGGCTGGAGCGCCTTCCTGCCCGGGGGTCCACTGTCTTCCAGCTACCGTGAGACCTTTCCACGGATGTAGTCAAGTGATCCCGGGAATCAAACCCACAAGAGGTGACGATGGACTCTCCCCGACTCACCCATCCCCAACTGAGTGCAGATTCCAAATTCTTCCACGTAAACGGATGCTCGGGGCCAAACCCATGCCCTGCTTCAGGGAGCCTGCGGCGCTCACGACCCTCAGTTTTGAGAGTTTTAGTCTCAAACTTGCCTTCCTCTCCTTTGGGCTGGAGAACCATAAGGTGCAGTTAGCTCAGAGAATAGCAACAACAGGGTTTT